AGCAATAATACACATAGATGTACTGAGTGCCATGAATCAGGAAAACCTGATAGGAGCAAAATAGTTCTACCATTTGTCATAGATTCTTCACAATTTACTCCAAATCCAAACGCACACACACGCACAGCACTGGTTACTTCATATTGCAATGCTTCACCCACAGAATGTCCAATCTCTTTTACTCTGTGTGACGTACCTGGGCTGTCGCTGACCAGTTATACGCTCAATAGGTTAGTCACCACTTGCAACGGTTCCATTTACTATCACACACACACACAGTATATTTGTCTTCTATTCCAAAACCAAGCCTAGCCCGCATGCTTTCTACTTGGTAAGCTCACAGCTTGTTTAACTTGTACCTGCTAATCGGTTTGAAAAGTTCTTGCAGGGGAGTCAAAACATAGTCACTGGAAAATTTGTCTTGGTTTTTCATTATCATGAATAATCCAAACGTTTCTCAATGGATCTAATCATCGTATCAGGTTCAAGAATTCATGAAAAGATGCAGGTAATGCGAAGCATGGTATAGACTGCAAACAAATATGTTCTATTGGGAATGGAAGTTTGAAGACATTGACTTGAGCTTCTGAATTTACATATTAAATTTATGTACACTCTGATTTGCATTTTGCATCAACTCTCCGTGTATTTAGTTATCCATCATTGGACACAATTACTTCTTCGTGCTTTGCCTGTGGTCATTTTACTCATTCAATACTTTACTTATTCAGTAGTGTGATATGAAACAAATTTCAGGTGAGTTGAATATGATTTGTTAAACGACTGCCTCATCATACAAAGAAAGGGAGAAAGTTAGGCGGAGTTGGTGTACTTAGAACGGATGGTGGTAGGCATCGCTTGCTCACAGCGGTCCCGTACTGTGTGAGAATGAACACGCAGACCGAACCGCTAACCTCACGGCAATAGCTTTTATTTACATCGCTGTAGGTCCTTTCGGGGTTGGGCACTGCGAACCAGTTCATTTCACAGATGCGAATTTTGTGAACATCCATTTGCACTTCAGCCAGATGGGGGTACACGCCAACCGTCACGTAGGTTAAAACGAAAAACTAGCGTAACAATTGATTTTATGACTGTACAGAAAATATGTATTGACCATAAACCGAACTTCGAACAGCGGTCATTAGCAGCTTTATTTATTCGCTTCTCAGTAAATAGACAATCAATATATAAAGAGAACCTCGGTCAGTCGAAAGCTGGAAAAGTGGGGTGGTGGCGATGTTTGAACACAAACAGAGAACAGATAGGTGGACAGTAAACAACAACCTCTGACTACTGTTGCCTATTTTAATGACCACAATACTCGGTATTCTTGGTCGGTCTACAATGAAAGTACTAAATGGGCCCTATAGCAAAATCTTCAGCCGATCCAGTCAACGAGAGGCGCAGAAAGCGTTGTACCTGAGTTTCGCTGTCTCTCTCTCAGCTTATCAGCAGAATAAAAGGTGTGTATGTTACAACTATGCCAAAGAACTCGTGTAAGCAATGATCAGAATTATCGAAACAGAATTGTTCCGATTTGATCTTCAGAGATAATCTGGAATAGATGGACACGGCATGACATCTGTGAACTTCAATAGCGAACTTTCCATCAGTTTACGTCTTCATAACGGGATCGAATACATCTAACCGAGAAAGGCGGCTTGAGTGAATTTCGTTTTGCTTTTCAAACCACGGTTAATTATGAGTAGCGGCGGGAAATACAGGAAATACTGATTTCGGCCCGAGACCTTTTAGACCTCACATTCACAAATAATCCACTAAGACTGACTCTCATATCCATTGTTCATCCAGTGTATTCACTGAAAGAACCTACTCATGTACTTGTTAGAGGTGCCACGGGTCAGCAAATGAAACGACAGTGTCATTGGCCTTGACCTCCTGTGATGTTATGATTGTCTTTCTTGTCATGTGGTTTAGTGTGTGACGCATACTCTCGATTCATTGAGACATATTTGGATCTGACAGTCAGACGCTCTTTGTTCTTCGTCTCGCTCTGGGCGATCTGGGAACGTAACACTGCGAAGAGAGATTAAATGTGAAGAATGCTCGGTAGAAATCGATAATTGTTATCCGACATCACTAATCATAGCGAGTTGTGAGCTGAAAATGAGGAAGGAATGTTGTACATTCGAAGGTGACTGAACGGATACAAACAAGAAGAGAGTGAACTACCACTGTGAACTGGATGTAAAAGATCCACCACAGCAGGATTCATCGCTCTTTGGCATTGGGTGTGGTCGATAAAGGGAAAATTTAAATTGCGCAAATGACTGAAGAATTCCGGTTTAAAACTGTGGAATTTGGCTACAAGAAAAACAAGCCTGGTAGCCATTTGATTGCCCGCTTCCCCGTTCCTGGAAATTGTACCTCTGTATGTTCAATAAAAAGAAGTAAAATAAAAGGATTAAGTTAAAGATAAAGGAGTGCCTGAGCTATGCAAATCTAAATGCATAAACGCTTTGGCCACCTAAGGGAAAAAGATTGACAATCTTCGCTCTATTCACGGAAAAGAAATGTGTGGATTGCTTTTGGGGTATTTCATGGAATATTCTTTTTAACTATGCTCAAACCGAGTGACAAACGCATGAATAAAATAAATTACGGAAAATTTATAAATTCACTTTGAAATAAGCATATGTAGGGCGTTTATATCAAGTGAAGTGCGTGACCGAAACTAAGAAATTGAACGAGTCATGAATTTTGTGCGACCACCATAATTCTGCCTGACTTTCCTCACATCGAATTCTCACCCAGTCTTCGCTGACTTATAGTTCTATCGTGTATTCATCAACATTGCGTATTTTCCGAAGAGCAAAACGCTCCCCTCCCCCTATATACTGTAAACTCACTTAGGAATGCAATCGGTTTTCTTAGTTTTTGAACGAATCAAAAAATGCTTTAATAGTATTTCCTTGTCAGGACGACAGGACAATTTATGAGTTTCCCTCCATAACTTGTTCCATTTATGCTGCAGCACTTCGTGCATCTCAATTTCTTTGCAACATTAGTCCTCTGAAATTCTTGATTTTCTCTTCAGTTCTACTTTCACCCGTCCTGTCTTTCGCCTGCTGTTCAGTCAAATGGGCAGCCAAAAGGCAACAACCGAAACCGGCGCACAAAAGTGCACGGGCAATGATTATTCAAACTGAAACTGAAACTGAAAAACTGCAGCAGTTCGGCCAGTGTTGCTAAACGGTACAGAGACTTGGCCACTTCGGGAACAGGATAAAAATAGATTGTCGGCGGTCAAACACCGCTGTCTACGTCTGGTGGGGTAACCGGACGAGCAATGCTGAGGTAAGGCGCAGAGTTTTAGGTAGTCCCGATCGTCTATTAGGAGTAAGTAGTCGACCTCCATAGATTACGCTGGTTGGGACATGTGCTACGAATATCATCAAATAGGTTCCCACGGCGAACTGTTTGCCGAGACAGGCAGTGGTTGAAAAAAGGTTAAGGGCGGTCAAACGAAGAACTGACATGAGGGTATGCAAATCCTAACCAGGAGACTGGGACACCCAAGTCCCTTTAGGCTTCTTGGCTTGGGACCCCGAGATGATGGTCACCGATGGTTCGAGATATTGAGTGATATTGCTGGGTGTCTCAAACAGTGGTGCTCATGCATTTACTCATTATTCTCTTAACAACAGTCTATATGATTTCCCTATCGTCCGCCTGAATTTGCGTTCAACATAACAACCTTCATCTTGCTCTTTTATCCAAATGGGCGGCCAAAAGACAGCAACAGAAAACCGGCCCACGGAAGTGAATGGCTAATGGTTGCAAAAACTGAAACTGAAAAATACTTTTAATCAGTGCCAGCTAAACTCATTCTTTTCTATGGAATTGTGTTCGATTCTTACGTGTAGATTACGGATGTTGTATACGGTCCTGTCTCTTCTTACCTGTCACTACGACTAGTTTGTGAGCTTCGCTATTAAGAAAGTAACTCTTGAACTTGATTTTGTTGTGGTATACCGAGTTCGCTTAATTTGAGTGGGCCTTTCCCACTTAGTCTTAGTGTGGTGATCCAGACTTCCGTCACCGTAATCCATGCACGACTAGGTACAGTTTCATGTCATCCAATCACCGTTCAGGAAGCTCGACCAATGGTACACTGGGCGAACGTGACATACGAGTTAGTACATATGATGCGTCGGCGCAAACGGCTACGTAATTGGACGACGGCTCTTCAACCAATCATATGAGCTATTACCTTCTATAACATATGCTCTAATTCTATCAATAAACATAAGCATTTGCTGCTATCAATTCCTCGTGTATTTCATTGGTGTCCGCAGTTCGGGTTCGAGCCGATTCAGTTGTGGGCAGTACAGTACGGATTCTCGTATTCCTAAATTCAATACTATTCCGATTACTAAACCTAGTCTCTTTGTCTTCACATATTGAGTGCGTTTCTCAGCGGGCTTCCCATGGAAGATGTTGATGCACATTCGCCGCAAAAGGAACAACTCATTATGACATGCTTCATATGATGGTAACTTGCTTAGCGTAGACAGCTCGAGGGTTAGTGTCTTCGTACAAATTTACCAATTAAGCCTCGCTGACGTCTCGCAGATTGGACACAGTCGGGATCTGAAGGCGCAGATCGGTCTTGATATGGCCCATGGTGGTTGTTTCTTGTTGGCAGTCGGTCCGGTCAAGCAGCACAGTCCATGATTCATAATCGATATATTGGACAACGACTTGTATATTCTTAGAGTACTCATGCATTTTTGTACCTGGCACAATTATAAACAAAACCAAAAGGTTTTGCACACCATCCGTGGCTAGACAACTAGGATACTTTGTTCCGCACTCTCCTTCACTGTAAAAATCAGTTTGATTGCATTTTATTCATCCGTTCCTGCATCAAAACAGTTCGTTGTGATCCCTTTAGTGGTTTACCAGCCTTTGTTTTGCATTTCACTTTCCATCACTAGGGGATACATCCATTCAGTCAAATCCTCGTCGACGGTATGACTACTATGTCTAAACAGGTCACAGGTTTAGCTGGCCCACCACTGCGCGTCCTGGGCGATTTGGTCGCGGACGGCCTAGCTCCAGAGCACTGGGAACCAAATTCCTCTATTCGAGTTTGTGCTCTGTGCAAATTCGAGTTTCCAGATCCTTTAGCGGATGGTATCCCTGATTCCATGCTGACCCCTGGACGAACAAAACCGGCCGTCGAACCAGCTGGTGAACATCGAACAAGCACTCGATATGAGACTCCAGATATTAATTCCCGACCTCCAACCAGCTCGGCTGGTCGCAAACAGCCAAAACGAGGTACTGTTTTGCTTCCCCGCACCTCCACCCTAACCAGTCTGTCCGACCAGGAAGATGATATGATTGGCCAGTCCAGACCTAAATCTACCTCTGCGGTTAAAAAGAACGAGGACGACGTAGAACAAAGCCGCCGTAGTGCGCCGCGTCATTCAGTTCCCGGTAGCCAAACCCCAATTGTAGACATAGCCAAACATCATTGTCGAGCATGCGGTCGCGGTGTGTGCGGTGCTTGTTCGGCCAGCAGTATCCCTGTCCCCGGCTTTGGTCCCGCACCAGTTCGCGTCTGTGATGAGTGAGTCACATTCATCATGCTTTCACTAATGCTTGGTTTTCGAATGTGTCTAAATATGTACTATTATTTTGTGGAACAGTTCATGATATAACACTTGTTTCATTCAAATGGCTTGGAAATCAGCGCTGTATAAACGAGTCTAACGATCACACATTGTGTAAACGCTCCGGTAAATATCACACTTAACAATCCATTAGTTTCACTTCTTTGTCTTTGGTGTCTAGTTTAAAGAATAGCAGAGATCATATATTGGTACACCCTTTTTCCTTGCTTACTGCATAAAAACTTTATCTACGCCTGTAAAAATTACGCATGCCAGCCATGAAATCAGTGCTGATAGAGCCAGCATCTCATTTAACCATCACTGGTCGTTAATAATTAGAAGTAAATATTTGCTTTCAATTCAATTATGGATCATCCACTTTGATTAATGAGGATTCTGCCCTCCGCGCTCTCACCGTTGCTATCTTCCATTATGCCGTGTACTATACCACTTCTCGTTCCAGTGCAACTTTTTGTTGCCTCTTTATTTACTTCCTTTTTGTTGAATACATGATTGTACAAACAGTTTTTCAGGAAGGGCGAGACGGCCAATCAAAGATCTGCTATGGGACATTGACAAGGGGAAGTCAGGCGACGCTGGTACGATTCAAGCGCACACTTTCCTATACGATAAGTTAGTGACCTTAACCGTTTAACCACCGCCACCCATCATCTGATGCGCAAGTTACCGGGAGGAGGATTCGGTGAGACTTGAACGCTATTCGAGGCAGGGCGCGAGAGAAAAGCGACAGGATTTCCATCGGAGGCACAACTGGTAATACGACTGTCTCAAGATATTGATAATAATGGAATGTTTGAGGGGCGTGAATATGCGGTGGAGGAAAAGCTGGAGAATAGGAAGATGTGCACGATGTAAAGCGTTTTTTCATGCGCGAGAACTGAAAGAGCGAGGTATTGATTAAGTTGAAGTTCATTGTTTGCATTGTGGGCTGTTGTACTACTCGGTCTTCCAGTCCAGAGTAGGTCTTGTTCGAGGATGCACTCTAGCCTTTACGCAACCAAGCGCGAGCTACAAGGCAGCAGTATTGTTCCAGATAAGCCGGTCACCGGTCGGTTGGTTCATTCTCCTCCTCTGGAAGACCTTGTCGGGTTGATGGAATTCGACAAGGGTCAATGGCCGTAATCAATGCTGTTACACTCACCAAGTCACAACGCTGTTATAAGATACATGGACTATCGAAAGATAGTCTTTTATAAAGTTCAAAGACTTGAGAGGATGGAAGGTGGAACTGAATTCAAGAACTGCACTGAACCATGTAGTCCTCACCTGCCAATTCTTTTTCTAGTTGATAGTTTATGGTGAAAGCAATAATAAAAGCCAAAGTAGTGATAGTGAAAAAGAATGGTGAAATGACTATCCAATGATGGGTTATTGATTGCAAGTTTTGATGCAGTAGAGGAGTTGTGGATAAGATGAATTCATGAATTTCAATAAACTTAACTGAATAGTGAGACAGAGCATGACAAAGTGTCACTCCACAGATGATTGCAGTATTCGAGAGTGGATTGAATTCAGTGTTTTTAAACGTGTAGAGAATGAGTTGGATTGCGAAAACATACTGGTCAAATAAAAACAGTCTTATGTATAGAATGAGCAACCAAAGAGAAACATGAGGAAGCTACGGGACGGAGGAGTGGAGGAATTTCAGTTTCAGTTTCTACAATAGTTAACCATGCACCTTTGTGCGGTGTTTTTGGTTGCTGTCTTTTATCTGCCCATTTATATAAGAGAGCAGAAGGAAGACTGGAATGTTGAGAGCGGAGTCAAGAAGCAGATATGGAATTCATATAGACTAGGATTGCAAGAATAATCTGTGTACCACCGAAGATTACTGTCGATGGTAACACCAAGGCGCTTGACAGAAGTCACTCTAGAACCAGGGTACAGTTCAGGTTGGTAGAATCCCTTGGAAACCTGAGGTGGGAAAGATTGAGCGTTCACTTTAGGTACCTGAATGTGTAAAGACCAAGTCCAAATCGGTTGAAAAACTGTAGAAATCGGGAAGGATTTCCAGTGAGCAAATCACATTCCGAAAAAGAGGAAATTGTCTGACACAAAACAACGTCACTTTTGTATATGTGCACGCGGTGAGACCAAAATACCACTGATGGAAGCAGAATAAATGTTACGGAGATAGAATAGCACCTTGTAGTACATCGGAAATATTGGCAATAAGTTTTGGTCTACTCCTGTCCAGTTTGGTGTGTCAGACCCAGTCTGTGAAAGGCACATCAGTAGTTCCCTGTTAGTGAAAAGGACCCAAGTTTAAGAAGGAGTATCTATCAGGGAATGGAATCAAATGGACACGAATAGTAAAGAACAACGCAACGGAGACTGTTCCAAAGTTCAAGAGCGCCGGTGGGAGAATTATTGCACAGAAGAAAAGGAGGTCACTTCATTGAAGATTCTCATTGTAACATTGAAGAGAATAAAACACGTATTAACGAAAAATCTTGTGTTCGATAACTTCCTCATCTGTCTAATACAGTTGTACAAATAGCTATCAGGCATACCACATTTGCATAACGTTTGACGTGTGTGGATTGGGTTGGTAGATATAGTTAGTTGTTTGTGTGGGGTTGACAAAGAAAAGTGCGGTGGTGGGTGGATGGGAATAGGTATGTGTCACATGACAGTCAGATCCGAGCCAAGGTTAACCATCACTTGTTTGGGGTACGGGGTCAATCGAAATGTTCAAGGGGTCATGGAAAGCGTCAGCTTCAGCCATGCGACTGAATTCACTGCGTGGACGCGGCAGTTGAAGTGCCTCACAAATCACTTTGGGGAACAAAACGATGGCTTAAACAGACGGATGGTTACTGCCTCAGCTGTCGTTAAATGTTCTTGACGAACAGCCTTAGCTGGATAAGGAGGCACCCGGTAGATCACCTTGAAAGCATCTTCACTCACAGTATGTCCCGTATTTGCGAGGTGTTCCACAATGGCACTTGAGATGGTTTTCCTATCCCAATTAGTTAACCCGACTGGCTTATGTTCCTTCATCCTCTTGGAAAATTGCCTGATGGTTCTACCTGACAAAAATAAACAAACAAAAAAATGAGTAGATAATCATAGAAAAGGTAGAAATAGGCGGTTTATCTTTGATGTTCGTGGAAATAATCGTCTGATTGGTGAACTGGAAGTGTAAACGTGCCAAGAGAAATGTGGCACTCAAGTGCCACTCCAAACTGATTCATGGCGAGAGCTGTAAGCTCATTCCCTGGGTCTTCCATATGATTTCAACAAATGCGAGGTAATTCCACCGTGGAAAATAACTAGGATTTTCTTGCGGTAGTACAAATGAAAGATCAATTTCATCGTTTCAGTGAAAAGACTGACACATTTAGAAATCAGTGTAAAAGAGCCAGATCCGTACTGAACAGTCGCAATAGAGCAGCTGATAACAGAGACATGACTGGGTGAAAATTCCCGTTTATTACGTTTTATCTGAATAAAACGTATTAATATTTGATAAACTATGCAGGAGTACACCTTTGATTTATTAAGAAGACCATAATTGTCACTAGTAGCAACTGAGGACCATTAGTTCGAAAAGAAACAAGCTCGAACCATTTGTGATAACCCAGTCTAGCGCAGAACTGCCTCTAGTAGGAAACTGCGACAGGTCTGATGAACCAAACGGAAACAGAGGGAAATTGCTCACAAGATTAATGTTTCCAGAAAATGAAGATTTTCATCTAATAATGGAAGAAAGGAATTTAGAAACAAAAGAAAACAGAGATGTCCGTCTGAGAGCATGAGTGGGACATGTGCACCTTATTTATGATTGTACGTTTTTGACTGAAGAATCTCGGATTGGCAACAAACGAAGAAGCAGGCAATGCATTTTTCAGATTGATTAATATCGTTTTACTTTCCTACCTATCTGTCTGTAGTAATCGATACTATCTATTGGCATGAGCGCGTTACCGGCTTTTTGATTCAACCAGGTTTGCTATATACACCACCCGTTTTCAATTTAATGCGTCTTTCGAGAATGGACAAGCAATCCGAGAGCTTTGCGAAGGGCGTGTGAATAAATAATGGTACATACACCTTAGCAGAAGAGGTGCCGTCGCGATTCAGTCGCATTCATGGGTCTCATAAAACACATGATTTGTAGGGAGCACAGAATTTATTACTTTCAATCGGAGCATGTCCTGACGAGAATAAGTTTAGATGCTGGACACGCTTTGCTTTGATATAGAGATAATCCAAACCCAATAATATATTATTTGACAACGAGCACGAGCGTAGTACAACCGATCGAAGAGTGTGTGAACCAGGGGCTCAGGAAAATTGAGGCTATTGAAGCCCCATATCCTTCGGAATCTTCGGTGATGATCCGTGAGGCACTCCGATGGCTGCCTTTTCGTTTAACCTCAATCAGTGGCACTACAATGTTGCACTGAAATCATTAACTTGGGATGAAAATACTTATTCTTCATCCTCTCTGGTATCCCATAAGGAGTGAAATGGATAGCAGTAATCTGAACTTGTCTATATTAAAATTAATCTCTATTGCGGAATGAAAAGCCCGGTGTGTTTTGTCCACAATGGACCCTTCAAGTAGATTTGACGTAAAAATAATGGGATCTGTAACCTGAAGATAGAAGAACTGAACTCAGAACTACATGATCAAATGCCTTGACCACTCAACTGGGTGTCCAATATCATGAGTGCCGGTTACAATCATTCTGGCTTCACCGGTCGTACAAAATTGCTTCCTTGATTATCTCGTTTATCTGAGGACCTTTTTATCATTCATTGTTAAGTGCTGCTCAGTCATCGACCCCACACGAATATCTCTGAGCACTATTCTCAGCATTTTACTTGCATGAGGCTGAGCCTTTTGGTTCGCAGACGTACCATGCATTATACTGTTGTTTAGGCTTAACTAATCTAGTTGCAGTCCATCGGTGAGCCAGCGGAGTATTGTA